ATTATGTATGATCAGTAAATGTCAGTAAAGTTATTGATACGCTGGCTAGAAGACCACCGTTGGAACACAGGTTTGGTTTTACTTAAGTTATCGATGCGTTGGCTAGAAGACCACCGTTGGAACACAGGTTTGGTTTTAGTAAAGTTATCGATACGTTGGCTAGAAGACCACCGTTGGAACACAGGTTTGGTTTTAGTTATCGATACGTTGGCCAGAAGATTGGATGTGTCAAATTCTACCAGCAGCACCTGATTTAATTTAATGAAGTACTGAATAGGATGGATTGCTGTATGCCAATTTATATTTATTCTAAAGTTAGTTTTACTTTGCATACTGCCCAAATAGCTATACACAAGACTTTTGCACAGTACTGTATGTTTGTATGCATTCATTTACAAAACTGCAATAGTAAAAATGATATATGTAGCAGTTTATACCAATATACAAACATCTTTATTGGCAAATCAAAACTTATAATTCTTATAACTCAATTGTTACCCCAATTGTTATGTTTTATATCATTCAAAAGCGCCTTACATTGTGTAAATATTTTGTGATGACTGAACTAAAATAAAATGGTCCAAAACTATTTGGAATAGAATCTCATCAAATTAACTTTCTTTGACAACGTAAAGGCATTTTTCCTTCTTCTGAAGCATCGTGACGTGATTTGGGGATACAAGGTTTTGTTCTAACAGCAAGGATAATCTACAAACATAAGATACATAAAACAGCAGAACAAGGCTTTTTTCCCCATTAACACCATTTTACACTAACGAGGTGCTGAACTGTTTCCTCAAGGTGATGCTTCTGTTCCTTAGAAAATTTTTCACATCTGTCCATGACCGCTCTCTTAGTGCATGCGATTCTGTGAGTAAACACTGGAGGCACTCTCGCTTCTGAGGCACTTTACCGTCTGGATGAATCTCATCAGGTGTCGCTCTACTGCACGTACCTCTGAGTCTTCCCACTTACGTTTTGGCTTTCTTGTGGCATCTTTGAGGAAAACAGAAATAGATCAGTGCAAGATTAAGTACTGCAAAATGTGTCAGTATGTCACTATGTCAGTAAAATATCTTCGAGACAGGGCGTGTGCAACATAGCGCGAAAGCCCTGTTTCTCAACGACTGAGATTTGGCGTGCAGACTGCAGGTCACCTAGTGACGAGGTTTTGCCGCGCTAGCAGCGAATGAAAAAGGAAAAGAGAAAGACGGACATTTGGAGACGAATGGACTTATTCGCATTTATAAGCAACGTAGTTGGTTTCCTGATACGTTAAATCTGCAACAAAAGACTGTCAAACGCTAAAAAGTTGCGAAGATGAAGTCTGTTCTCTTTCTAATTTTCCCGTTCCACCTTAAATGGTGCCGCGTTTACCTCAGTCAGAATTTAAGGTGGAACGGGAAAGTTCAGCAAGAAGCTGCGAATGAGAAGCGACTTCAACCTCGTAAAACAGCCGAAAGCTGAAAAACATTTTACAGGAAACTCTTCAACTTTTGAGGAAAAGTTTTCTGGCGGAGATGGAAGAAAAGTGGCTATAGCTAAAGCTTAAAGCAGAGTAGAGTAAGTCTGCATTTTCGTTTATTTTGTTTAGTCTATACTAGGACATTAACACATACTGAGACATACTGGACATTAAATGTTGTGGCTCCCAAGGTGGTTTGTTTTTTGTTGAAAGGACAAAATGGCTCTTCTTATCATTTGTGTTGTGACTCCTGACCTAACCTGGCTTTAATGCAGAGGGTGCCGGTCAAATTTCTTACTCATCCAGTAGTGTTTTTGTTATGTGCCGCCACAGACTGTCCGGGCGCTACACTTCCAAGTTCCGCCTTTGCGTTCCGTCAACATTACGTTATAACTTAAACATTTAGAAAAACGATTTTTGACGTTGAATGAATCGATTCAGAATCGTCCACGTCCGCATCGCTATGAATCTAAGAATCGATTTTTATGCCTGATCAGTGTGTATATATATATATATATATATATATATATATATATATATATATATATATATATATATATACACACACACACAGTGGGGTGGGAAAGTTTGGGCAGCCTTGTTAATTTTCCTGATTTACCTTTATAAATCATTGATTGTTTGGATAAAAAAATTCCGTTAAATATATCATATAGGGGACAAACACAGTGATACTTGAGAAGTGAAATGAAGTTTATATGAATTACAGAAAGTGTGCAATAATTGTCTAAACAAAATTAGGCAGGTGCATAAATTTGGGCACCAAAAAAAAAACCTTACCTCAAATATTAACTCATATACACACATATATACACGTATACATATATATACTGATCAGGCATAACATTATGACCACCTCCTTGTTTCTACACTCATTGTCCATTTTATCAGCTCCACTTACTATATAGGTGCACTTTGTAGTTCTACAGTTACAGACTGTAGTCCATCTGTTTCTCTACGTACTTTGTTAGCCCCCTTTTACCCTGTTCTTCAGTGGTCAGGACCCCCATGGACCCCCACAGAGCAGGTCCTATTTGGGTGGTGGATCATTCTCAGCACTGCAGTAACACTGAGAACTCCAGCAGCACTGCTGTGTTTGATGCACTCGCACCAGCACAACACACACTAACACACCACCACCACATCAGTGTTACTGCAGTGCTGAGAATAACCCACCATCCAAACAGTACCTGCTCTGTGAGGGTCCATGGGGGTCCTGACCACTGAAGAACAGGGTAAAAGGGGGCTAACAAAGTACGTAGAGAAACAGATGGACTACAGTCTGTAGCTGTAGAACTACAAAGTGCACCTATATAGTAAGTGCAGCTGATAAAATGGAAAATGATCGTAGGTCATAATGTTATGCTGATTGGTGTATATATATCTGAAGAAATCTGATGGAAATGAGGTAGCCATTTCCAACTGACAATGAGGGTAGGTGGGTAAAGTGCAGGTATGTTAGGTCTTTAACTATAATCACCCATTTTACTTTTTGAATACTTTTTGACAAATAATTTTACAAATATTTGTCAATATATTTTCAAAATGCTTCCATAAAAACAGATGATTATACAATCAGATATCCCTGCAGATAAATATAAATGAACAAATATAAAAACTAATACAGTAATACTCTTTTTTTTTATATATATTATATATATTTTTTTACCTGGTTGTTTGGGTGTGATAGGTGCTATAGAAGATGCTGTAAAATCAAGATCAGTAGCTGGAACTGCAGGTTTAATAGATTCTGCTGCTACTGTGTCTGTAGGCTCATCTTCATCGTCATCACTTGACAGTTCGCATACTGAATGAACCAGGTTCTCTAGTGTAACGGTGACCAACAGTACACAGGAAGTGCAAAACATACAGAACACTATATGAATATATCATCTGTCATCACATTGCATTACAAATGTTTTAAAGTTCATATTCCATTAATATTAATCAAACATAAACGATTTATAAACAATCATGTTCATACCTTCAGGGTGTATTTCAATTTTATCCAGTGATTTGCCTTTGAATTCCGACAGCATTCCTCGTTCCATAGCCATTAAAACTTTGCAGCTCGCTAAAATGAGCAAAGTTCCTTGTGGCAGACGGTAGTACTGTCGATGGAGCCTTGTGGATGTGAGTGCCTGAGAATGATAATGAAGATAAATACAAGAATTATACAGGTACAGATTAGACCTGGGCGATACGGCCAAAAATGTTATCACAATAAACAAAATTAATATCGTTCGATATCGATACACATCGCGATAAATGTCAAATCATTATTTCATAAGGATGATTTTTTGCTACTGAGTGGTTAATTGCTGTGTTAAACTATCCTTTATGGTCAGAACACGACAAACACTCACCAAACAGTGGAACATTTCACAAATCTGTCATGGGAGAGTGGGAGAAAGTGTCCGGTGAGCTGTTTTTACGAGCTGGAAAAGCACAGCCGCAGTTTTTGTAATAGTCATAATTTAAGAAAGAAAAGTTTATTTTTAGCTATCTGGTGACGAGCGCTCGGCTATCCCGTTATATGCTAAACATGTGGCCAACAACAGTGCTAAACTGTTTAATTTCTCAACAACGTCAGCTTAGTACAAACAGCAAACATTAGCTGGCTCTGTATGTCAGTGTTGGATCACACCGCCTTAGTGCCATCACTCCTACCACATCCATGTCAGAGCATATCACAGTATTCAGACAACAGCTCGCAACATCTGGATTTCTCTATAGTAATTTGAGGGGTGAACCGCAATATATCAACACCAGACAAACACAGTCCTCCTTTTATGTATGTTTAAATTGAAAGGGGTGTTTTTGTGTCTTGTTTGATCTACAGGATCACCAATTCGCCGTGCTGTGTGAGTGACTGAGCGCTACTTCAAGTTAGCCAGCTGCTAAAAACAGCTAGCCTGGAAAGATAACGTTCTCCCGCTCTCCAACGCCTCACAGCTTCCTCAGTTTATTTTCGTTTAAATCAGGGCTGTAATTTTCATGAACCCACTTCTTTCTTTCACTTTTTCGTTGCTTGGGAATGCACTAATACTTAAATATGACTGTCCAAGCGATCGCTCCACTCAAACAGGGAATGTTTAACTCCACGTTTCAGATGTTGCTAAAGTATTTTTGGCGGTTCATTTTACCCCTCCCTCCCTAATCATGTCGAAAAACTCTGAAGTGCACAAACAGATGTTAATGTTATAGATCAAAATAGATTATGTCCTTCCATCAGAGATGGCCATTAATTTTTTGATCATGTTTAAGGACTGTACAAAAATATTTACAAAAACAAGTTCAGTAGTCAGTCCACTGCAAAAAATTTAAAAAGTCCATCTATAAAGTTAACAGTGAAATAAATTTTATATTCTCTGTCTTTTTTCTGTGATGATACGGCATGAAATCCTAGTATGAAGTTTTAGAATTCAGATACTGTGCAGATCCTTCACCCAGAATGTATCCAAGATAAAAAAAAAATCTGCTTAGGAATCCTACAATGAACATTACATGAACATTTAAATAATGTCCATACCTCTACATCTTCATCACTGAGTGAGGAATTGCTGTCAGGGCTGTGAGCTCCAGGAGATGATATATCCAACTTGAAAAGACATACAATTCATAAGATAAATAACGCAATCAAAGTACCTTTTAGACTGTCAATCAAATTGTGCCAAGTATTTACATTAATATATGAATACACATTTAACCACTAGCAAAAAGTCTTTTTTATGGTCTTAATGAAGTAGAAAAACAAATTGTTTGAAAGTGGGACATACAGTTTATATAGCTTACCAATTTGTCTATCTTGGAAATTTCATGGTAAAGTTCTTGCTTCAGCGTGCAGAATATTCTACGTTGCTTTTCCAATGCATTCTGTTTCAAATTTGTGCTCTGGACAGGTTGTGCAGTTCCAGACTGTGATGGAAAAAAGGGTGAATTTTAATATGTCTGTCTAGTACAGAATATTCCACAAAAAAACACAATGCACATTATGCAGATAACCACTCTGATTCATCTAGAAAAATAAGAGTATATGCTAGAGTACTGATGAAGAACAAATCTAAAAAAAGTAAAATCTACTTTTGAAGAATCTGTAAAAGTAACAACAAATAAGAAGTAATTCAACTAGACAGAGCATCAGATCAAAGAACCAAGCTTCAAGTAACAATTGGAGCTCAATAGTGAGTTTGGGGTCACTGGACACACATACACAAACTCTCTAAGCAGACTGGGGACGGTCTGGATCATAGACACTTCATACCAGTCCATTCTTATCATCAACTCTACAACTGGGGACACCGAACATACACACACACTTGACAAATCGTACATTGGGGACAGCTCCGTAAAAAGGCAGGCATGATAGGGTATATCATGGTAAGACATGTTCATACCAGGTCATCTCCAGCATCTGAAGGCTTGTCCTGTGAGCTGGCCTCTTCCTCAACTGGGCAGGAGGACCAGTCTGTCTCAGGCTTCTTCGGGATGCAGCTCACGGAGGGTTCTGCTTGTTCCTACAATCCAAAGCAGATTATCTCTCAACATCTGGGAAAGACTAATCAACACCTAACAGAATTTCAACAGCAGCACATTTCTGGGTCTTTAATGTAGGCACCTAAAAACACAACTCAAAGGTATTTCTATTCTCAAAACAGCAAAAACTGTACTACAAAAAGAAAGATGAACGTATTTTAATTAAAATTAACACTAGTTTCTAAATACAAACATAAAACCATAAAGACATCAACAATCCTTTTGTGTTTCACCAACACACAAGCGCAGCTCTCAATGAACTAAAAATATAAAACTGCATATTCTTGGCTATGTGAATCTTTAGTAAATACTAGCAGTCGTAATGGTGGTTAGATACTGACACTGTGGTGCGGTGGTATTCCATACCTCACTCTCTGTAATTCCAACACACTTCTTGAGCGACTTAACCCTTCCTTTAGGCTGACGTGAAAAAATGGTCTGCTTGTTCCTCACAAAATGGCCCTTGACATGCTCTGCTCGTACCTAAATTCAAACAAAAGTAAACAGAAAACAATGGAAAATTAAAAGAAACGCAACAGAATCTGTACAAAGTGACAACAAATAAGAAATAATTCAACTAGACAGAGCATCAGATCAAAGAACCAAGCTTCAAGCAACAATTGGAGCTCTATAGTGAGTTTGGGGTCACTGGACACACATACACAAACTCTCTAAGCAGATTGGGGACGGTCTGGATCATAGACACTTCATACCAGTCCATTCTTATCATCAACTCTACAACTGGGGACACCGAACATACACACACACTTGACAAATCGTACATTGGGGACAGCTCCGTAAAAAGGCAGGCATGATAGGGTATATCATGGTAAGACATGTTCATACCAGGTCGCCTTCAGCATCTGAAGGCTTGTCCTGTGAGCTGGCCTCTTCCTCAACTGGGCAGGAGGACCAGTCTGTCTCAGGGTTTTTCTGGATGCAGCTCACAGAGGGTTCTGCTTCTTCCTACAATCCAAGCAGAACCTTTATTGCATCACATTGTTGGTTAATTAAATAAAAGATCTAGAAATACAACTGACAGTCTTCTCTGTTTAGCACAAGGGCACAGAAGAGACCAAACAGGCAAATGAATCATCATTTAGTGCCAAGTACATGCTGGACTCTAACAATATTTGTGATATGACAACCATGGAAATATCAACATCTATTCAAGGTTCAACACAGTCACAGCTACGAAACTCTACATTTGTCATTTCTACTCAACAATGCAGTAAGAATTAAAATCAGCTGGCAATTTGAATCTTCATAATCACCAACAGTAGGGCTAGTTTACAAAAAAATGTTGCAATCGTAGTCCATACCTCACTCTCTCTAATCCCAAAAGACCTTGTTGGTGGCTTAACCATTTCTTGAGCTCTTTGGGAAGTTGCAATGGTCTGTTTGTGCTTCATAAGCTTCCTCTCAGAAAGTTCTGTCTGTACCTGAATTCAAAGCAGATGAATGGAAACAAAGACAGTCAAAGGTGACGCTTCACAGAATCTGAAGCCCTGCCATATCTACGACATAAAAATAAATAATTTAACTAGACAAAGCATCAGATCAAAGAACCAAGCTTCAAGCAACAACTGGAGCTCTATAGTGAGTTTGGGGTCACTGGACACACATACACAAACTCTCTAAGCAGATTGGGGACGGTCTGGATCATAGACACTTCATACCAGTCCAGTCTTATCATCAACTCTACAACTGGGGACACCGAACATACACACACACTTGACAAATCGTACATTGGGGACAGCTCCGTAAAAAGGCAGGCATGATAGGGTATATCATGGTAAGACATGTTCATACCAGGTCGTCTCCAGCATCTGAAGGCTTGTCCTGTGAGCTGGCCTCTTCCTCAACTGGGCAGGAGGACCAGTCTGTCTCAGGCTTCTTCGGGATGCAGCTCACGGAGGGTTCTGCTTGTTCCTACAATCCAAAGCAGATTATCTCTCAACATCTGGGAAAGACTAATCAACACCTAACAGAATTTCAACAGCAGCACATTTCTGGGTCTTTAATGTAGGCACCTAAAAACACAACTCAAAGGTATTTCTATTCTCAAAACAGCAAAAACTGTACTACAAAAAGAAAGATGAACGTATTTTAATTAAAATTAACACTAGTTTCTAAATACAAATATAAAACCATATAGACATCAACAATCCTTTTGTGTTTCACCAACACACAAGCGCAGCTCTCAATGAACTAAAAATATAAAACTGCATATTCTTGGCTATGTGAATCTTTAGTAAATACTAGCAGTCGTAATGGTGGTTAGATACTGACACTGTGGTGCGGTGGTATTCCATACCTCACTCTCTGTAATTCCAACACACTTCTTGAGCGACTTAACCCTTCCTTTAGGCTGACGTGAAAAAATGGTCTGCTTGTTCCTCACAAAATGGCCCTTGACATGCTTTGCTCGTACCTAAATTCAAACAAAAGTAAACAGAAAACAATGGAAAATTAAAAGAAACGCAACAGAATCTGTACAAAGTGACAACAAATAAGAAATAATTCAACTAGACAGAGCATCAGATCAAAGAACCAAGCTTCAAGCAACAATTGGAGCTCTATAGTGAGTTTGGGGTCACTGGACACACATACACAAACTCTCTAAGCAGATTGGGGACGGTCTGGATCATAGACACTTCATACCAGTCCATTCTTATCATCAACTCTACAACTGGGGACACCGAACATACACACACACTTGACAAATCGTACATTGGGGACAGCTCCGTAAAAAGGCAGGCATGGTATGGTATATCATGGTAAGACATGTTTATACCAGGTCTCCTCCAGCATCCAAAGGCTTGTGCTGTGAACTGGCCTCTTCCTCAACGGGGCAGGAAGACCAGTCTGTCTCAGGCTTCTTCGGGATGCAGCTCACGGAGGGTTCTGCTTGTTCCTATAATCCAAGCAGAACCTTTATTGCACCACATTGATGGTTAATTAAATAAGAGATCTAGAAATACAACTGACAGTCTTCCCTACTTAGCACAAGAGCACAGAAGAAACCAAACAGGCAAATGATTCATCATTTAGTGCTGAGTACATGCTGGATGCTAACAATATTTGTGATATGATAACTATGGAAATATCAACATCTGTTCACAGGTCAACACAGTCACAGCTACAAAACTCTACATTTGTCATTTCTACTCAACAATGCAGTAAGAATTAAAAACAGCTGGCAATTTGAATCTTCATAATCACCAACAGTAGGGCTAGTTTACAAAATAAATGTTGCAATGGTAGTCCATACCTCACTCTCTCTAATTCCAAAAGACTTTGTTGGTGGCTTAACCATTTCTTGAGCTCTTTGGGAAGTTGAAATGGTCTGTTTGGGCTTCATAAGCTTCCTCTCAGAAAGTTCTGTCTGTACCTGAATTCAAAGCAGATGAATGGAAACAAAGACAGTCAAAGGTGATGCTTCACATAATCTGAAGGCCTGCCATACCTATCACATAAAAATAAATAAAAATAAATAATTAAACTAGACAAAGCATCAGATCAAAGAACCAAGCTTCAAGCAACAATTGGAGCTCTATAGTGAGTTTGGGGTCACTGGACACACATACACAAACTCTCTAAGCAGATCGGGGACGATCTGGATCATAGCCACTTCATACCAGTCCAGTCTTATCATCAAGTCTACAACTGGGGACACCGAACATACACACACACTTGACAAATCGTACATTGGGGACAGCTCCGTAAAAAGGCAGGCATGGTATGGTATATCATGGTAAGACATGTTTATACCAGGTCTCCTCCAGCATCCAAAGGCTTGTGCTGTGAACTGGCCTCTTCCTCAACGGGGCAGGAAGACCAGTCTGTCTCAGGCTTCTTCGGGATGCAGCTCACGGAGGGTTCTGCTTGTTCCTATAATCCAAGACAGATTATCTCAACATCTGGGAAAGACTAATCAACACCTAACAGAATTTCAACAGCAGCACATTTCTGGGTCTTTAACGTAGACGCTTAAAAACACAACTCAAAGGTATTTCTATTCTCAAAACAGCAAAAACTGTACTACAAAAAGAAAGATGAACGTATTTTAATTAAAATTAAAACTAGTTTCTAAATACAAACATAAAACCATATGGACATCAACAATCCTTTTGTGTTTCACCAACACACAAGCGCAGCTCTCAATTAACTAAAAATATAAAACTGCATACTCTTGGCTACGTGAATCCTTAGTAAATACTAGCAGTCGTAATGGTGGTTAGATACTGACACTGTGTTGCGGTGGTATTCCATACCTCACTCTCTGTAATTCCAACACACTCCTTGAACGACTTAACCCTTCCTTTAGGCTGACGTGAAGAAATGGTCTGCTTGTTCCTCACAAAATGGCTCTTGACATGTTTTGTTCGTACCTAAATTCAAACAAAAGTAAACAGAAAACAATGGAAAATTAAAAGAAACGCAACAGAATCTGTACAAAGTGACAACAAATAAGAAATAATTCAACTAGACAGAGCATCAGATCAAAGAACCAAGCTTCAAGCAACAATTGGAGCTCTATAGTGAGTTTGGGGTCACTGGACACACATACACAAACTCTCTAAGCAGATCGGGGACGATCTGGATCATAGCAACTTCATACCAGTCCAGTCTTATCATCAACTCTACAACTGGGGACACCGAACATACACACACACTTGACAAATCGTACATTGGGGACAGCTCCGTAAAAAGGCAGGCATGGTATGGTATATCATGGTAAGACATGTTTATACCAGGTCGTCTCCAGCATCTGAAGGCTTGTGCTGTGAGCTGGCCTCTTCCTCAACTGGGTAGGAAGACCAGTCTGTCTCAGGCTTCTTTTGGATGCAGCTCACGGAGGGTTCTGCTTGTTCCTACAATCCAAGCAGAACCTTTACTGCACCACACTGATGGTTAATTAAATAAGAGATCTAGAAATACAGTCTTCCCTATTTGGCACAATACATAGAATCAAAAAACCAAACAGGCAAATGATTCATCATTTAGTGCTGAGTACATGCTGGACGCTAACAATATTTGTGATATGATAACCATGGAAATATCCACATCTGTTCATGGGACAACACAGTCACAGCTAAGAATATCGACACTGTCTAGCATGCTACCAAATATTTACATTAGTGACGGTGGCACAACATTAAATGCATATTGTGATAGTTTTCCCTACCTCACTCTCGATAATTCTGAGAGACTCACTCCTTTCTTGAACTTTTTCAGCAGTCACTTTTGTCTCTGTACATTTCAAAGAATAACTCTTGGGAAGAGTTTCTTTTACCTTAAACACAAAGCAAAGTAAATATTAAGTAGTAGAAAAAAACTCTGTATATACTTTTGGACCAATTGTATGACATCAATAAATCATGAAATATTAACCACTTGAGCCACATCCACCCATGTGTCACCTGTGTAAATCTCCAAATCCTCTTTTCTACTACAGAGCCTCAGATACAACCAATGATGTTTCACTTTGTTAACACTCACAAATGAAGTATGAAAACTAAAAAAAACTAGTTTCCTTTAAATATCAGACCAAATACCTTTAACCATGTAAATTTCAGTTAATGTCATGTATTACCATTATTGTACTCTGGATTTAATTTAATGCAGTATTACAGAGATGCTGGTTGGCATGTCAGGAGTGGTGCTGGAATTCACTGAGCGGCTGCATGCACTAATGTTGAACGTTGATGGCTGTGCTTTATCATAAAAACCAACGGTTAATGTTTAAATATCTGGCGTGTCCATTTATTTGCTGTGCTGAACATACCTCATCCCCTGTAGTGATAAGAAGCTTCTGATGAGCCCTGACAGTGGACGCTTCTGGTTTAACCTAGTAAAAAATAATAAATAATAATTTAAATAATTTCACCTCATAATTCATTTGTGTGTTATAATATCAGATCCTACTTTAAAGGACACCTTCATTACAAATCACAAAAGAAAAAAAATAAATAAAAAGAATTAAACAACTGTCATACCTGTTTGCGCCAGGGCCAATCTGAATCCCCATAGTTATAGGTAATTTCTTCTCCTGGTGAAATATCTCGAAGTGCAAATAAGCACAGGTGCGGCGTTCCATCCACCTCAACGACTTTTATTTTGCAGTTTGGTTTCTTGTGTTCATCATTTACAAGCCTCCCTAAAGACTTGTCTTCAACGGATGCATCCACACTGAACAATAACAGACACAAAAAACATGCACAAAAATGTATGTCTTATTTAAATCTGTAAAAAGCATTGGATATTAAGAGCACTTAGCAGACAAGTAAACACTTATTTTAATGTCATACAACAGTTAGTTCCAGCCACGCAAGCTGATTGGTGAGAAGCGTTCTAACCGTGCTGATATTTTGCAATAACATCACAGGTTTTTCACAAACACTATCACTCCGCTGAGACGCCGTTGCTAAGCAACGAGTTTAATGAATTTAAATGTTTTTACTTCTTACTTTGCGAAGTAAAACTGTCATCACCACTGAGCAGCTTTTCAGTTGGCAGCTGTGACAGAAGAACAGCTAAACAACCTGGAATCAGCCAGAAATGAACCGAACACCATTCGCCAAACGTGTAGTCTGATCTTCAGAGTCTGACAAAATCAGACTGAGCCATAAAACTGCCACAATAAAAAACAAAAAAGCTGCTCAGTGGTGATGACAGTTTGGGAATTTAGTGTGAGGAGCTGGAGAACGAACTGCCGGCTGTGCAGCGAGTGGGCGGAGCTCGTTACTCTGACGTAGCAACAAGCTGCTCGTTAAGGAACTATAATTTGGTGAAGGAACTGCGAACATTAAAACATATTAAACGCCGCGTTCACGGCCCAGTTTATTAATTTATTACTGTATTTATTTAACTGTTGCATAAAAGCAATAGAACACTCGAGGAGTGTGATCACCAATAACATCACGGCTGTGATGATCTACGGTGACCAAATCACAGCCGTGATGTTATTTCGCGATAACACACTCCCTCTGTGTTCTATTGCTTAATTATGATGCAGCAATTAGAGTGATGTCACTTACCTCCAGTACTTCCCTCTCCATTGAAAATCAAAAATAAACACTGTTTCTGAAATATTTTTCTGGGTAAGATTTTGTGTTAAGAGTTGCCCTCTGTACTCCAGGACAAAATCTCCCTTGCAAAAGTTTGCAGTTGAAAATACACCTCGCCCTGGAAAAGACATTTTTTTTTTATGCTACTATACACAAACACGTGAAAACATTGTGATTCACAAGAGATCACACACTCAACAGAATCACATTTTCAACAAATAAATGATTCACCTTTAAAAGAGCTGATGAATTTTTCCTCAAGACCCGGCTTGTCTGTCTTCATTTTGATGTAAATCTCAGCATCTTGCTGTGGACTAAGTTGCTTTTGTCTTATCAGTCTTTTTGCCATTTTGTCTTAACAGTCTTTCTGTTAAAAAAAAAATCAGTCAACATTTCAGCTTTAAAACATTTAGATTTGTCACAAATAACAGCAGACTATTTTAATTTAATCATAAAACTGTCAAACTGTCCAACTGATACCAACATTATCTACATTTTGTCTGACTTTCTTCAAAAACCTCTTACAGTCTTGGGGGCTGCAGTCCAACAATTTAAGGGGTTTACTGTTTAAGCACACCTTTTTAACTCATTAGTTAATTAACAGGTTTAGCCAGTGTGTTTGAGCAGAAAAATCAACAAATTGTGCAGAACTGTGACCTGGAGTTGCAAATTCCTGAACTACATCAATGAAGATCAGTCACTTATGCATACATTAACTTTAACACTGGAATGGAAAGAATGTCAAATGTTTAGCTTTTTCCCATTATAACTTAGAAAAATTTCCATTAGAATAACTAATATTCAGTATCAGTAATATCACACGCATTAGCAAATGACCTACAGAAAAGCCCAACATAAATAAATAAAGAACACTCACACCACTTTTAAAATTATTAATCAGAAACTTCTAGCTTTTCAGATAATCTCTTAATAATGTTTTAGCCATAAAACAATAGCTGATTAGTGAGCCACGGTAACCAGACAAGTCACACTGGAGCCGGTTAAAGAGCCAGCGTGCGACTCTGACGCTAGCTAGCGCGCTACCAGCTAACACACGCCACGTAACGGGTTAAACTCGGCCTCACTGCCTCTCAGACATCAGCCACTGAAACAGCATATGTTAGCTGGCATTCGCAGTGCTGCTGCAGGGTTTCTGCTTCTCAGATAATCACTTAATAAAGGTTTAACCATCAAAAAAACAAGCTAATTTATAAACCGACTAAGACAAGTACACTGGACCCGATTACGGCGCTAGCCTGCGGCCGTTAGCTTAGCTACCACCTAATACACGTCTTATAACAGGTTAAATTCAGTCTTACTGTGTCTCCAACATCGGTTACTCGACATCATTCGCTCAAATTAGATGTTTCATCTTCTTAACCTGCATCACTTGAGCATTTGCTAGCATAGCAGCCAACTAACTTTAACTACCATTTCCAGAGTGCGTCATCTCTGCTGCGCTAGCATCGAGAGCTAACGTTGCGGAGCACGGTGGAAAGGGAGCTGGCTGCGGCCAAAGGCGAGCTCGCTAGCGGCGAGCTGCACTCACTATACAGCATAATACACTCCTCATATAATGCTGATCCTATAAACACGTATGGATTAGCAATAAACAGCTCAAATCAAATCCGCATTGTGGTGTGTAGTTAGTTATTTAACTTGGAGCTGTTTTAAAGAAGCTAACTTCGAAGCTAAACAAGCTAGCTAACTAACTAGCTTCTTTATCCACACTTTTCACAGACGATAACTTTGGCGAAAATGCGTTTAAAAGTAATTCATGACTTTAGAGTCATCAGTATTTTGCTCAAACCACGTACCTTGTCCAGCGTCTTCGCTCTTAGTGCAGGTTCTCCCTTGTGCTCGGGGCAAAATCCTCCTCGGCCAAACGTGGATAAAACCATGCGGGAGCTTTGGGTTTCATTTTGATTCAGTCCCTATTACAGAAATAGTGCACTACATAGTCTGAACCCATTTAGTCCTGCTGTACCTGAATTGTATAGATTGCTCCCTGATAAGTTCACACTAGCGAATGAGGGATGAGTGAACATTCTGAACACAGCACATGTTTGCTGATATTAGCAGTGCTGCTTTCAGGGTTTTTACTTTATATACACAATTTGTGACTGTATTTGCGTTTTTCACGTCCACTAGTTGCCAATTAATGATGCTAATATGTTAGCGTTAGCTCAGCACAATCTAGTTAAATATTCATAATGATAAATATTAGGAACATTTTAATGACGGTGTTTGTGTAGAAAAAAAATAAAAGTTAAATTACTGCTAAAATCACTGTCTATTTTTCTAGAAATCAAAATGATTTTCTAAACGTATTCTGTATATAAGCTACTGAATGTCTAAAAGGTCATAGCTAATGTTTAATATACAGCGCTACCGTTAGCCTACGCTTATAGTAGGCTTTGAGCTGACAGACTTCCTCGTTTGCTCCAAGCAGGGCAGTGATTGGTCTAAATGGATCATGTGACCCGGGTGCAATTCACACACTTCCATTAGGGGGCGCTTTACAACATACACAGATTTGGGTGGGGGGGGCGGTGCTGCAACCATACACACACACAAAAATCTGAACTATGACACAATTTGGGTCAGAGGAGATTTTAAGGTAGAAATGCACTTTGGAGCACGCTGAACACGTCTGTATACATAAAACAATTGGGGACACACTTTTTGTCCCCAATTCCCAAGCCGTCCCCAATTTACTGGTGTGTACTCTGACATTATTCCCCAAAAGTGTCCTAAGTCAACACACACACACACACACACACACACAGATAACCTATTCTCTCTCTCTCACACACACACACACACACACACACACAGACACTGATAACCCACTCTCACACACACACACACGCACACAAGCACACACACACACACACACAGATAACCTCTCTCTCTCTCACACACACACACACACACTGATAACCCACTCACACACACACACACACACACACACAAACACACACACACACACAGATAACCTACTCTCTCTCTCTCACACACACACACACACACACACACACACACACACATACACACACAGACACACACACATACACACACAGACACACACACAGCTGTGTATTTGTTGTCCTGTATGTTTATTGTCTGGTGTATTTATTGTATATTCTGTAGGTGTTTCACACTGTCCCTGCTGTGTGTAGTTCTGTGTAATGTTCTGCTCTTTGTGTTGCACCATGGACCTCCAGAAGTTCCAGTGTGTAAGAGTTGAGGAATGACAAATAAAGATCACTCAACTTGACTCTCCTCTCTACCTCCTCACCACATCCCCAGCTCTCTCTCTCTCTCTTTCTCCTGCTCCTCTACACACACCTGCTGATACACAGCTTCCTGTTTCTCCACTAAACCAAAAACTTCAAAGGATAAACAGCTTCAGCTGCCAAACAGATTCTTATATTCTTATCAGCAGATCACATATTTACCACAACACATACAGAAACACATACAGAATCACCACAGAGTCACCACACTACTGTAAATATGCTTTGATATAAGGCAGCCATCAGCTTTATGTCATTACAGTAAATTACATTTCAATGTCAGTGCAGAGGAGAGAGACAGACTTTGGTTTTAAAAAGTGGATTAAAGGTATAAGAAGAATCTAGTGGGGGATAGAACAGAGTTTTGTAGGGATGTATCAGCCATTTAAGGCATTACTGTGCTTTAGGGATTCAGTGGGTGGGCTCTGAGGGTCACTTTTTCAGGAGGTTGTTGATTTTGAGTGGAAAGGAATGCCAGTTCATGAAAGGACTGCATCACTGAGATGTTATTTGTTATCAGATAACAGTGGAGCAGGAGCACACGTTTGAAGATCAAGATCAATTGATTAAACCAACGGAACCAAGTGTTGGAATGAAAACCTGAAGCTATATCAGCCCTTTGTGAATAAGATTGAACACCCCTGGATTAACCAATTAAAATCAAAGACAAGCACGGATCAGAAGTGTCATTTTTTTGTCTCCAATTTTTTTAATTAATTGAATTGTAATTAATTAATAATTTACCATGATGACAGCAATTAAACATTGTTTTTTTTTTGTTTGTTTTTTTTTTAGGGAAACTTAAGTAATAGTAAAATAATAATAACAGTAAATAGAAAGATGAATGTGAAAAGACACTGATGTGCATTAAGCTCAATTAAGCTGCATGTAGTCCCCAGTGAAATGCCTGCTGCCGTCTGTCCTTTTCAACAGGACAGCACCTCACGGACTACAGGCCAGCACGATGCACCTGCTGCCATCAACACCAACCAACATCCTTCTCTGGAGTGTGGTTTCTCTGTCCAAACCTGGAATCTTTACATGATGATACAGTTTAACTTTAGCTGCCTAATAATCAATACAAGAATTATCACAATACACTACATTTAATCTTATTGCACATTTCCACTTATATAAATGTAACACTGACTGTATTAACAGTGGTGGTAAAAGTACATAATCCTTCACTTATTATACTGTTACCTCATTACTAAAATTATATGGCCATACAAGTATGGATGATGTTATTAATCGACTGATTACATACACACTTTAAAAAGATGGTTCTTCAAGCATTCTTTAGTAAAGAAAATGGTTCTATATAGAACCATGAACACCCAAAGAACCCCTTGCATGATTAAATGGTTCTTTGCATTATGGAAGTTTCTTCAGATTGATGGATAATGTGCTGTAGATGGTTCTATATATCTTTTTTTTAAAGGGTTCTATGTACCACCCAAAAGGTTTCTTCTATTGTTATAAGCATGACATTGTAGCACTAGCACAATGGTTCTATAAAAAGGTTCTATATAGATCTACAGTATAAAATGTTTAATGTTTAAAGATTAATTTTTCTTGGAACAATTAAAACATTAAAGACTTAAAATAATCAATTCTTTGTTATCAGTAATAGCTGCATCAATAATGTCAAGAGCATGTCAGTGTATGATTTAAGCTGTATTTCCTCTATTCTTTCCATATTGTTCCAGTTTAAAACAGTTTATCATCAAAGACAAGTTTTGCAGACACTTTTTCCAACTCTACAGAGATTAAAACAGACAGTATTTTACTGACAAAATTCACTTTATTATCAGACTTGCTATATACTGTTCTGCACATTATAACACTGTTTGTGAAAGTCATGATGAACAAGAGGATTCCACCTTCGCATAAGTGTGCAATTTATAGAATGATCATACTGTTGTTTAATAATTAAAATTTGGTAATTCAGGGAATCATGTTCAACAAACTAAATGACATTCAGTTTCTTTATTTTTTACTTAATGCCTTTGGCTGAAATGCTGATCATGTAGAATATGCTCTGTGGCAGTGATGTGGTAAGGAGTATCTTGTCATCTCAAAAAACTCCTGTCATCAATTATAAAATTAAACACAATCATTAAACATGACATCATGATAGTCATCATTTTAATGCTGCGCCTCCAACTTAAAACATCATTCTGTGTCTCTGCTCTGTAGAGTGATATATGGATATCTGCTCATTTATTTATTACATCATATCATGTGGGCCCAATTCTGGTCCTGGAGATTCACCACATTGGAGAGTTCAGATATAACACACCTGGCTCTAATAGTCAAATAGTCAAAAGCCCCTGAAGGCCCTCATTATCTGGATCAGCTGTGCTAGATTAGGGTGAGAGATAAAACTCTTCAGGGTGGTCTTCAGGACCAGAATTGGGCACCCCTGCACTACACAATCAGTACTGAACTGAATGATCCTTTGCATAATACTGAATGTACAATGCTGCGAAAAAAATATTTGCCACTTCTCAATTTCTTCTGTTTTTTTTTTCATGTTAGTCACATAAATGTTTCAGATCATCAAACTATTTTTAAAATTAAACAAAGATAAGTGTGGAGGAGGGGGCGTGTCCGAGCGTCACATGCAGGACAGAGAGCCAGTCAGGCTGAACCAGTGGGCTAAGTAGCTGATGATATTCACCTGTGCCTTGTTTCTGCCAGCCTACTTATAGCCATGTCTTTTCTCAATAGGTGGCAGAGCCCAGAGAGAAGGAGACCAGTGGAGACACGATCAAAGCAAAGCAAAGCAAAGCAAAGCAAAGCAAGGAGAAAGAGACTGAGTCCCAGAGGATGTGCTCTTTAATTTATGTGTGAGCTGAAAAGCTGAGTTTTTTTTTTTTCTTTTTTATGATACATGGAATAAAAGTCTGTGTCTCCACACCCTGTCCCCCAGTGTCCTCACTCCTCCCACCATTCTAAAATCGTTACAATAAGTAAACATAAAATGCTGTTTTTTAATGATTTCATTTACTGAAGGAAAAATGCTGTTCAGCCCTACCTGGCCCTATGTGAAAAAGTAATTGCCCCTAAGCTATTAAATCAACCAGTTAACCAAAATTAACACCAAGGCTTGATTATGGCTAGACCTGTTGAATCTAAACATCACTTCAATAGAAAATGTTTGGCAATGTGAAGCAGGCTAGAAGGTCTTAAAAAGCAGCAGATAATGCCACGTTCTATAGAGATTCAAATACAGATGCAAAACAAAGCCATTGAAATCCACTAGTCTGGAAAGGGTTACAAAGCCATTGTTAATGCTCTGGGACTCATCTCATGGGTTCATCTGAGGTCACCAAAGAACCCAGATGAACATCTAAAGAACTGCAGGCATCATATATATATATATATATATATATATAGAAACACTTTGATATTTTTATGTTTCATCCTTGGTTGACTTTCAAAAGGCTTTTGTAATTCAGCAGATGCATTGTTTGAGTCTCTGTCAAATGGTCTATCCCTCTGTCTCAGGAAGTTCTACCACATCATCGTAGTCTGAAAGTGAAAGAAGAAGAGTAATTATAACTCAGTGTTCAAAATGTATCTCATAACATCTAAAGCGAGAACTATTTTAACTATTTGTGCCCCATATTTGGTGCTGGAGACCTCAGTCTGCCATTGTATTTACAGTTGCTCATTAAGTGACAATCTTCTTAAACACAGATAACATCATTACACTATCAACCTCCAGTATTGTGCAATGTCATGTGCAACAGCAGCAAAATGCTTTTTATCTGTTTCTACCTCAATAAAATCTCTGTAGACTTACTTGCTGCTTCTCCTAAATCCTGTCCAGGACTGATGACATCATCATAGTTCTCTGATGTGTACGCTGCACCAACATGTGTGGACAAATTTTGATATCAGTGGTTTTATTATTGAACTGATGCTGATTCACATTGTGTTCTCAATGCATTTCCTATTTTTAGAGAAACAAACCTGCTGTAATGTGTGGATTCTCTCCAGTAGGCATGGCATCATCATAAATCTCCAACTTGTTCTCTGTCAAAATGTAGAAATAAAGTATCTGTGTCAGTAAGCCTGGAATTATTTGAAGTAGCCTAATCGCTGCAGAAATCTAGATCTCCACATATGTACAGCTTCATTCTGGGAGGGTAAGGACATCGTTAACACAACATGCTTGGAGATGAGTTCTAACTGCTAAATTGTGTATATGTTACTTAACAAACATCCACATCTGGCTATCAATGCTTTGCCAGTAAAGGGAAAGAAAGACTCACATGACAATTCAAATCTATTCAATTTGTTCTAAAACACAAATCAATTTGTATAGGCTCACAAATAATTAATCAACAAGACATTTTCAAATACAAACTATTTATTACAGATTATAATTCAGTAATTCACTTCAGTAAAAACAGGTAACTTCAGCCTGAATTATTTTGGTGTAAAAAGGACATGCAACTCTGCTGTGGCTTCTAAAGGTAAATCAATTGACACCTCATTGAGCAAAGAACATCATCTGACAAGCTTTACAAATACAGGCCCAGATTTGCCAAATCGTATTTGCCATCACAGAGATAAGGAGTTAGCTAATATAAAAGCTCTTATTATTCTAAAGCCCTTATTACTCTTATTATTCTTAGGTTATAGAAGTGTGTAAAAAACAGAGGGCCCTGGCCATGTAAGAGGTTAATAGAAAATGGCAGAAAAATGCAACATTTGATGTGTATATTTACAAAAAACAAATTTCATTGTTTTTTGTAAATATACACACATTCCTAATTTGATGCTTACAACATGTTCCAAAGAGTTCAGATGGGAGAATGTTTACCTCTGTGTTACTTCACCTTTCCTTTTAGCAACACTTGCAATTTATGTTTGGGGACTGAAGATTCAAACTGATCCAGTTTTAAAAGCAGAATTGTTTTGGCATTCTTCTATGTTCTGTAAGTATTCCTGAGCCCATGTAGTGATATCCCTCACAGAAACATGCCAGTTTTTAATGCAGTGCCATGGATCAAGTGTGGTTTTCGGGATTTTTCATTATGCACAGAGATTTCTCTGGATTCCCTGAATCTGTTGATGTTATCATGCACCGTAGAGGGTGAAATATCTAAAATCCTTGCAATTTCTCAGCAAGGAATGTCATTTTGCTGATGCATTTTTGGCAAAGTGGTGAGCCTTAACGCATCCTTACTCATAAAGGACTCTTCCTTTCCTCAATGCTCCTTTTATACACAAGCATAATTGCATTATTTTCATCAATTTCATAATGAGCATGTATTTACAAAAAACAGTGAAGTTGATAAGTTAAAACAGAGAGGAGTTATTGTTTATACGAGGAGTTATATTGCTGCACCTAACCGTGCCTGGTGATGTATTCTAAACCAACCCCCCTTTTACATTTAGCTCTACGCCAGGCTACCCACACCCACATGAGCCTGTGTGATGATCTTGCACCTTTCTTTTTTGCATTTGTGTTGTGATCTCAAGAACAGAACCGATTGTCCCTTGACTATATGAATATGGCAAAGAAAGAATGGAGAGTGAGTGTGGTATATTTAATAAGGTAGTTCTTGTTACTTTGCAGTGAGTTCATGTGCCTTTTTTGGAATTTCAACAGTTACAGAACATATTCATTCCCACAGGTAAACTGAACCAAATCAGCAGTGAAAAACTATTTCACACTGAAACAATAAAAAGTAGGATATACTCACACAAATAGCACACTGAAGAGACAAAGAATATGTTTAAAACGTGTGATAGCACTAGATGAGCCAATGGTTATATATAAAATATTCAAGAACTATAAGACTATCTTTATTATTTGATTATTTTGTGATTTTTCTATAAATGCAGTTCTAATATTTATCTTGGAGTATAGTTTAGGATAGGGCAGCGGTCGACAACCCAAGTGTTAAGAAGAGACATTTTGTCCTTTCAACAAAAATCAAAACATCTTGTGAGCCACAAAATTTTATGTCCATTTTACCATTGTGGCTGTAAATATGTCTCATGATGTGCTAATTTCCTAGTATAAGCTAAAAAACAATATAAACGTAAATGCAGACTTACTTTGCTTTAAAGTAAAGGAAGTCTAGCTCAGCTAGAGCCACTTTTCTGCAAAAGTAGAAAAGGTTCCTGTAAAAGGTCTTTTAAGATTAAATTTTTTATGAGGCTGAAGTTGCTTCTCGTTCGCTTCTTTTTCGAATTATCCAGTTCCACCTTAAATGGTGGCACCATTTAAGGTGGAACAGGAAAATTCAAACAAGAAGCTGGCAAATGACAAACTGACTTTAGCTTCGTGACATTTTAGTGTTTGACAGTTTCTCAACGCAGATTAAAGTATAAGGAAACCAGCTGAGTGCTTATAAATGCAAATGAGTCCAATCGTCTCCAAAGTATCAATGTTTGTCTTAAATCTTTCTCTTTGCCTTTTCATTAGCTACTAGCTAGGCCGGACTATTGTCTCCGTTGCTCTGTGACCAGCAGTCTGTGCCTCAATCTTCAGGGTTAAAGGGTGAATTAGCAGTTATACATCAACTCCAGCATTTAAGGCCATTTATTGTTAAAACTATGTTAAAAAAAAACTCCTTTGCCATAAAATAAAGCTTTGCTGATCATTCTATGTTTACCTAAAAATCTAATTCTGCTGTCAAGCCGCAACAGGGCAGTAAAAGAGGCACATGTTGCTGACCCCTGAGATAGGGATTCTCGTCCTTTTCCACTTCATGGCCTAACTATTTATTATTAGAAAGCCAGAAGGCCCACAGGAAACCGAAATTTTTGCTTAAAAATCTTATTTTTGGGAAATTTTCAAAACAGCTGTGTGTTGTAATTGCAGGGCCTGTATTACTACTGTTTACCATTGGAACACTGGCCAACTTGTGTTGAGAAACCCTGGTTTACAACAGAAATGCTCTGGTCCTCTTACCTGAGAGAAGCCCCTCATCCACATCCTCATATCCTGAATTCTGTACTTCAGAGACGAAGCTTCCTGTGGAAGGAGACACATAAAATTATACATGAGTAATTTAGTCTCATTCTCCCTCTACTCCACTCTGTCGGTTTGAATGCTGTGATTATGTTCAACCTTTCAAATAAAACAACAAGACACTGAAATATTTGGTCTATCATTCAGTTGTCAAGTGGTTACACATCACATCAACATAATTACTGTCAAGTTTGTTGGGCAAGAATTGTGTTGATGTATATAATTTAATTTATGTCCAACCACCTGACACATTTTAATATTCAACACAACATTTTTTCAGTACAATCTGCACTTTCTGAATAAATTATTGTTGTGGGAAAATCTGGGATCCTAATGTCATTGCTTTAAGTATAAAATATAAAAGTATTATTTACCTCTTTGAGTCATTCTTGTATTAACAGATCTACGGTTGATCTCCTCATACACTACATCAGTCGTCTTCCTCAGGCCTTCATATAATACCATTTGCCCATTCTTAGAGAGCACTGTGAGCAGAGGCAGAGAGAAATAAACAATGTATGTTTTGTGTGTATATATATATATATGACTGTTTAAAGCAGTGCTTCCCAATCCCACACAGGATTTTCCACACTAGATTCATCTAATTAACTAACGTACAAGCTCCTTAAATGCCAGGACAGATGTGTAAGAGAAGGGAAAACACAAAACTGTGCAGACTAGGACTGAGAACCATTGCATGTACAGAATGTACAGAAAGTGGATTGTAAATGATCTCTGAATCTCTCTACCTCTCCAGAGCAATTTGTTCTGGTAAAACAGCACAACAAGAAGCACTAAGGCCAGGAAGAGCATAGTTCCCAGCACCAGCAAAGCCACTGGAGAGATGGACAGAATAGCTGGTAATGGTGTTTGTGAGGGAGATGTTGTTCTCTTCTCTGTCTGACCACCTGGAAATAAAAATGCATAGAACAAAATTGGGCAACGTATTTAGAAGTATATATATATAATATATATATATATATATATACTTCACACACACACATACGAACAAAAAAAGTACCTGTGACGGAAATGGTGGTTATTGTAGATGTAGGGAATGTAGGGGACACAGATACGTCTGGGAAAAGAGAAGGAATACAGTAACAGCCTTAGTAAAACAAAAAACAGCCTTTATATATTGCTAAAATCTGAATGATGACGATGATAAAAAAGGAAAATGAGTTCAGGGCATTATCAATTTAGTGAAATCAGTTTTGACTAAAGCTGAGCAGGAGGCTATTGTCGTTTTATTTTTCTACATATAACCTGCATTTCTCTTTGGTTTACTATCAATCTTTGTGAATGTTTTACCTATGTGTATGCAAGTTCTAATAGCTAAGAAAATAATTATTTCAGTAATCAAATCTCTTTACAACACTGAGAAAATTATTACCATTCCCATAGTTGTTAACTGTGTCTATAAGGATAACTATCAAGTGTACCCTTTTTGGAGCCTATTTTGTCCTGCTGAACTGGAGTCCTACTTATGAGAAGTATTCGTATTATTAAAAGCTTAATTAGTAGTAGTGGTTACTATTAATTAGCTATTAATTAATAACTAAAAGAAAAAATATGTTATAAATTACCCATAAATGCTACAAGGAGAATCTAATCCATTAGGCCACAGCATAACAAAATGAAGAGGAAATAGAGGGAATATTTTCTAATGGCAATTTTTGCTTGTTTGGATCCACAACTCTGAAAGTCAACATGATACTCTTACCTGCACAGGTGACTCCAGCGTGCTGCCTGTGGGAGCAGTCAGTGTGGTTCTTCAGGGAATGAGGACAGTCCAACAGGTGAATCTCATTCCCTCTACACTTCACTCTGTTCAGCCAGATAGGCCCTTCACCAGCACCAAAGACAGAACTCCCATCAGCACTCAGCGCCGGCCCACAGCCCAGCTGTCTGCAGACAACCTGAGCATCCCTGATGTCCCACAGATTATCACAGATGGAGCCCCACTCAGCGTTATGATACACCTCCAGCCTCCCAGAGCAGCTTCCATTTCCTCCCCTCAGCCTGAGAGGCAGGTGATCTACATGGCATTAATTCCATATTATATGATGCAGTGAAAATTATTGTAATCACAAAACTAACAACACTAAAAAGATGTATGTAACTTGTCATAAAGAAAGTTAATGAGCCTGAGCCTTGTACAAAAACTATTTATGATTAACACTTTTATGGTTCAAACAATAGAATGATTGTGTAGTGTTCTTACTTGAGCACTGTCTCCAGTTTGGATATAAGGAGCAGTTTACACGGTTTTGTAGTGAGAGATGATTTTTGTCTCCTGTAAACATGGTAAAATACTCTTTTAATTGTTTATGTATTTTATTTATAAAATAAATTGCTAAGACAATTAGGTAATGGAGCACTGTACTGGAGGGAAGAACTGTGTACCTGAGCAGGTAATTTGTGCCACCTGATTGTGATTATCACACTTTTTCTGTTCCCAGGGGGAAGATGGACACTGCCACAGAGTGGAGTCATGTTTCCTACATTTCAGATCATCCAGCCAGTTAGAAGCTGATTCAACTCTTGCTTTGGCCCAGGATTTGCTGCCAGATCTTCCACAGTTCAGCTCTTGACAAACCAAACTTGCAGTTTCTTTGTCAACGCTCTTCACACAGATGTTACCCCAGGATCCATTGTAAAACACTTCAAGATTCCCCTCACAGCCATCAGTGAGTCTGATTTCTTTGTACTCTTGTGGGAAAATGAATTGAAGAAAGTAGTTTTATACCCAATACACACATATTTATACACAACTTAAGCAGACCTCTATTTATTTCTCCATAGAGTAAATCAACATACTGTAATTCCATGAACTTCATTATACTAGTTAGTCATTTGTTAGTACCTTGATAACATTCTGAGAATATGGAAAACAATTTGGAATTGTAATATTTGCTCCATCTCCAAATAGTGCTTGTGTCAGACTAGATATCATTAGAAAACTTCAGCAGCTTGAAGCATCATCATCATATTTTACCTGAGCACACAACTCCTATTTCCTCCTTGTGTCCACACTCATCTTCCCCACACAGCTGAAATCTGCAGTTCCACAGTGACGTCTCGTTCCCCTCACACTCCACCTCATTCAGCCATGTGGGTCCAGTTCCACGTCCAAACCAAGCTGGTACTGGAGCACTGAGGGCCACTCCACACTGCAGCTGTCTACACACCACCTGCGCATCCTTAATATCCCACAATTCATCACTCACTGTCCCCCATGAGCCGCTGTGGAAAACCTCTAGCCTTCCTGCACAGTCTCCCCCAGAACCAACCAGCCTGACGGAGCTGTTCGCTTTGAAATCAGACCCAGGCATACACAGAAAGACACATTCATGCATAAACATAACAAGGCATGGTGTAAGTAGGTACATCCTCTCAGTAGCAGGTTATAAATTATTTATTCACAATTTTTAAATTAAGTGGCCTTGTGACATGGATATTAATATTTTACTTACTCAGGCAAGTGATTGACAGCTGTTCCCTTAATCTGCATGGAACAAGTTGTGCACGTCTGCAGTTCCCCAAATGAGCTTCATTCCCAGAACAACTGAAACCCATCACACACATGTGTCTGTGTTCAGGACTGAATGGAGAGGAGCTGGAGACGTTGAGCACAGAGCCACAGCCCAGCTGTCTGCAGACCACAGAGGCCACAGACTCACTCCAGGAGTCCATCAGAACTCTCCTCCAGTCCTGCATGAAGTAAACCTCTACCTCCCCCTCACACTCCATCGCTCCAGACAACCGCACTCGCCCCTCATGAAACTCCAGGGATGAACCTAAATTTTGTTGATTTCATAAGATGCTTTACTTTTTATATCATATATAGACATTAAACATGTTTTTACTTATGACCTGTACATCTCAGAGAACTCACCACTGCAGATGACACCAGTGTCCTGTTTATGAGAGCATGCAGTTCGACTCCATGATGAAATGGGACATTCTGACAGGTGTTTTTCGTTTCCCTGACAATCAAACACATCAGCCCAGATCGGGCCACTCCCCTCCCCAAACCAGTCTGACCCCAACACAGCCACAGCACTCCCACACTTCAGCTGACCACAGAGCACATTGGCAGCTCTCATATCCCAGCTTACATCACACACTGTGCCCCACTCACTGAGGTACTGGAGCTCCACCCGACCAGAACAGAAGTCCAAGCCACTCACCAGCCGAGCTCCAGTGTGACCTGAACATAAAACTAACAGCTTAATAAAACAACAGGTAACAGAATACAGGCACAGGAATTGTTTTTATGTATTGGCAAGTCAGTAATATCAAATAATGCAAAATAAATAATTTTATACTTAACCAGAACATATTAGTCCCACATCATTATCATGGGAGCAGTTGTGTTTGAATGAAGTTGATGTGGGACAGAAGTAAATCTGAGATTCGTTGCCTCTACACTGAAGTTCCTCTGACCACACCTGACCCTCCCCTCTGCCAAAAGCAGCTGCTCCCAGCACCTCCACAGGAATTCCACAGCCCAGCTCTCGACACACAACCTCTGCATCCTGCTGGTCAAAGCCAGCATCACACACTGTGGACCAGGTCTTTCCATGAAGCACCTCCACTCTCCCAGAGCACAGATGAGGACCATCAGTAAGTCTGGATTTTCTGTGACCTGTGTGTGATATTACATTGCATAATGTGTATGTTTAATGACCTAGTAATGCTATACACAAGTTATATAACTAAGTGAAAGATTTGTTTAAAAGTTGTTTAAAAATGCTTACAAAGTTAGTTGTAGCTAAGAGGTAGTAAACAATACATTTTATATAATCTAAGTAGTCAATGTTTAAAGAAAAAATGTTAGTAGCAGAAGAAAAAGTGAAGACTAATAATGCTTAAAAACCTTATTCATGAATTACGACCACGCCTTCAACTTTTGGTTGTATTATGAGACTCTTGAAGTCTCATAGTATGTAATAATTGTAGTTTGTTGTTGTATGATACTCTCATAGTAGGACTCTTAAATGGGAGAGACCACTGAGGATGTAGTATGGAATTCAGTGCAGCATCTATTTTACTCCAGAAGGCTGGACTCCAACTTGAAGAACTAATACATGGGGCAGAAAGACTGGACTAAGGAATAGAGTGTGGACAGGGTGGTGTGGATCCTTCACTAGAGGCAAAGCAAGGCAAACATGAAATATATGTCATAAGTCACTTAGAAGGAAGAATGCGTTTAAAGTATGGTTGTTTCATAATTCATAATTCCATGACTTCTAGTATGAGAAGAGATCGTAGGATGGTAGGAGAGGAAAGAGCTCTGAAAGCTAGAATATATGTCAGTTTTTACTTTAATCTTGAAGGCTGGACCTCTGTGAACTCAAAGTAAGATAAAGAGCTTTTAGGTCTTGTCTCTTCATTTAGCTGTGGAGCATAGTAGGAGATCAGCATTCAGTGAGTTGGTGTCGATGCAGAAAACATTCACTGATCCAGAAGAGTTTCATAAGAAGTTAAGAAGGAAATTTAAGAAATCAGTGGTGGGAAGAAGAAGAACTAGATTCAGAAATAATGGTGAATTAGGTGGCATTTGAGTTTGAGAGTTAGAGGTTTAACACTATCTCATGTGATTGACATAAGAGTTTAACCTGAACAGATAAAGAAGTTCTTGTCATGGTGGCCATATGTCGCTTCTGAAAGAACCATGGATGACAAGAAGAGGAACAGTCAATTTGACTGAATTCAGTTCACTGTACATCACTTTCCAACAGAAACGGTCACAAAGCTATGTTACAAAACTCTGGGTCTCAACCTCCTAGCCGGGCTGGCTCCAGACTTTTGAGGCTCTAAGCAGGATTTTTTGAGGCTTCCCATCTTGCTAGCTGATGTAACATAGAACTACAGGCCAAATAATAGCATTGACTACAAAGCTGTCTAAATTATATGCATTTGTAACTGGCTAATTGTATATTGCTGAGGATTGTATGCTTATTTGAGGTTCTAATAGGTTTCAATTTAAATATTTATATTACAGATAACCTCAGCATTCTTGATCTAAAGGTCTGTATCTTGACACAGCATTTCTTGCTTAGCCAGCTAACTTTAAGCTTAGTTGGATCTAACCCTGAAAGAGGTGATGGCTTTACATTTGTATCATTATAAATGTTTTACTTTCTACATATTTAGGTACTAAGATTTATTTATTTTTTTCTTACTGCTGACTCCTCCTCGTGTTCAACATGATCGACTACTCTTCATGAACATCACACTTTTAAGTGCATGAGCATAATTATTAATTAAGGTATCTAAAACTATGTTGACAAAGAGAATTGCTAACTGCTCTTGTAAAATGAGTTAGTTGCGCCTATGCTTGTTAGGTTTTGTGAAGCCTGTCGAAATAAAACCTGCTTTATTAAAAAGACCCCAGATTGTCCAACCACAAGTTGAAACAAAGCCATAATGTTAACACCACAAAAAAAACTTTATCTTTGATCTTGTTCTCCTCAGATGCTCTCTTGGTTTTCCATTTTTTTGCCTCCAGATGTATACACTCTTTTTTGAGATTAACAGTTGCTTCCCTTCACTCCAGCATCGTAGACAACATAATGGTAGAGTAATGTCCCATTTGATTGGGAGCCCACTGGTGGCCACAGGAGTCTAAGCAGCTGCTTATATTGCATATTAGGCAGAGCCAGTGTTCTAGCAAATTGTCCTACCCATCAATCCTATGGCCCACCTGTCCTATCGCACATTTATTGTGCATATCATTAGTATAGTGTAGTACCTAAAGATTTTCAAATGTTTTATTGAGTTTTAGTGTTAATTCAACCTTTTCTCAAGTGTACAGTGTAAACTCTGTATGGCTTAATATCACTATTTACCCCACACCAGTAGTTTCAATGTTAGTAGCATTTTCTGATAAGGTGACACAGACTATCAAATTATTATACCTACAGTTTTATGTAGGAAGCTACATATAAAAAAGAGCTAGACAGAACATTTTGACAAGGTAATACAACTAATCAGAACAGAAAGGTGACAGTACCAAGTAAAAAAATCCCAAAGAATATGAAAAAGAAACTTTGACTGAAAACAGCAAGTGGACTGAAAAGTGAAACCGATCCTCTTCTAGTTACCTCAGGTGGAATGATTCAGCAGAAGAATTAAAAAGCAATGATGTTGAGTTCCATGGACAGTTGAATGCTGAAACACTGATAGTCGACTACCGGAGCTGGTGTAACACAGTTAACGCATAAATTTGTTGAAAGTTGTGGAAATGGAAGTTAGAAACAAACATATAGGGAATAAATAGGAGAGAAGAGGAGTTTCAGGCGTGGTCTTTTGCTATTTATTTATACTTTGAATCTTTTTGTATGACTTTTTGTATTACTTCTGTTTTGGGTGCATTGTTAATGCTTTGATCTGCTACTGTTAAAAATTGTAAAGTGTTAAGGCTCATTCAAACATACCTGAACAGATCACTCCAGCATCATAATTATGGTTACAGTTATGTTCACCCCACCCCAATGATCCACAGTTCTTCAGTGTACGCTCTGATCCATTACAGTCCACATGACTCATCCAGATTGGTCCAGATCCTGATACAAAATGTTGAGCACTCAGTGGCTCCCCACAACCCAGCTCTCTACACAACACTGCAGCAGCTTTCACATTCGCACCAGAAACGCACACTGTGCCCCACTCTTCTCTGTGAAAAACTTCCACTCTTCCACCACAACGACTGCCACCATCCACCAACCTCACACTGTCTGTGTGTAAGAGATAAAGAGAGGAAACAAAAGATAGAATGAAACAGACTGTAATATACAAAAGATGGACAGATGAGGCAGAATCAGAGCACATCATGAACATTAAATTCTTACCAGCACACACTAATCCTACATCATTATCATGAGAGCAGTTGTGGCTGAATGAAGACGATGTTGGACAGAAGTGAATCTGAGATTCGTTGCCTCTACACTGAAGCTCCTCTGACCACACCTGACCCTCCCCTCTGCCAAAAGCAACTGCTCCCAGCACCTCCACAGGAAGCCCACAGCCCAGCTCTCGACACACAACCTCTGCATCCTGCTGGTGAAAGCCAGCATCACACACTGTGGACCAGGTCTCTCCATGAAGAACCTCCACTCTCCCAGAGCAGTGAGAACCACCAACCAGCCTGACTCCTAAAATATTATTGTGAGAAAACAAATATTTTTCAATGTTTTCTAATTATTATATCCCACATGTAGGTTAATTCGTATTATTTGTATATCTGGGTTTTCTTTGTGTGTATATAATATGGAGAATGTATATTTATCCAGATTGCTGTGCATGTGTGTTTCTATAGTAGATATCTGACACTAACGTGATAGTGATGTATTGTTTAACTGGCCTCCTAAGTATTTACTCACGGAGGTCTTTGCTATCAGTCAGAAAATATTTGCTGTCACCAAGAGGGACGGTTTCATGGAATATGTATGGTCTGCCACTTGCTGAGGTTTCTGAGATGCTGGGCTGATTTGAGTTTGATTGTTTACCATTTGATCTTTGCATTACTCCTAACACTTTTAAACACTAGATGCAGCAGTATACGAGTGGCCAGACTTCTAAATCTTTGTTGGTGTACATTAATGATATAGTATACTCTACAGACTTCCCCACCTATTTCCAACATCTAGATGTGGTCTTCACACAGCTCTATAAGCATGGGTTAAAGTTATAACCAGTCTGTTGTGTGTGCAAACTGCTACATAGGAAGGTGAAGTTTCTGGGACACATAGTTGCTGGCCATGGGGTAAGACCTTATTCAAGGTCTTACAGAGAAGGAAATCACTATTCCAGACTCTCCAGTGCCAGCTACAATCAGGCAACTACAGGCCTTTTTTGTCTTGTGGCTATCTTTGCTGCCTGTGGTGCCCCCTGCAGATAGTCCTTGCACATTTTGAACCATGACTGTCAAGAGGCCTTTGTGTAATTGAAAGAAACCCTAAAACTCCAATTCTGGCCTATGTTGATTTTTCTTAGCCATTTGTATTGTACAGTAATGCCAGCATCCAAGGACTGTGTGTATGTCTCTAAGCCAGGCAGGTGACACTGGGATAGAATGAAACAAGAGGGTGGGGATATGGAG